TTATGATATTCCATCAGGAAGCTGGATGTAGCAATGCTATTTTCCATCATGCTTTCTTCTGTTAACAAAGCTCATTGAAACTTCCATCTCATCTGTCATATCTGATGCTTCCTGTTATTTTTCCCTATGTGTCAGTCTGTGTATTAATGCAACATTCCCCAGTTTAGGCCTGTACTGTCTCATGAGTTGCTTTTCTTCAACTACCTCTTCCTACTTCTGTAGATTCAAACTGTTCCTTACACCACCTTGTCACAGAAGCATATTGAGTACTATTAGGGAAGACCTTTTTGGGAGTAAACAGATGAGGTATTGAATTCTTGGATGAAGACCTCTTCCTGTTGAGTTTGACTATTAAAGGGCAGGGTGTATGTGTCAGGAATCTGGTGGGATGGAAGCCTGGAGGTCTTCCTTGCTCAACTCTCTTTGCCTGCCATGGAAGACCCAGCTGGTTTCTTTGCCTCTGTGCCTGCTTTCATTTTCTTCATATTCACTTTTCATCATTTTGTATTCATATAACCTGTAAGTCCCCTAAGGGAACAGGTTATGCAGAGGCTAAGGACTACTGGAAAGGTCTTTATGGTACAATTAATTTCTCTAGTTGTATAACACTGATTCTTTACCTTGTGCATAGAGATACTGAAGGAAAACAGCAGTGGTCTGTCTGAATAGTCAGTGATTAGGGTGAAGGGTTCAGAAGAACAGGCTTTCAAACAGGTGTTTAAAAAGTCAGCCAATGCCCTTTCAGGAGCAAACCAGAATGATGAACATTCCTTGTCCTTGTCACACTTATTCAACACAAGCTTGGAACCTGCTGTATTCTCACAGGTATTATGCAGAGACTCCCTTGCATCTGGCAGATAGCTGGATTGGGGAAAAAGTCTGAGTCCTGCTTTGTCTTCGCAGAGACAGTGACAGGTGTTTGCTTGTGATATGCTGTGGGACACAGGCTGTGTGTGTCTCTCTCTTCTTACTGGTGGTGCTAAATCTGGGTCAAAGGAGCATCCTGTATCCAAACACCCTGCCACCGACACTGATGGCAGCCCAGCCTATGACAAGCAGCTCTTTGAGCACCTTGAAGGAAGCAGCCTGACTCTCTTGACAAGTGTGGATCACCTCTGGGAGTGATCTGCAAGTTGGTTGCCACCCCAGGACTGGTTGCATTGCATAGGAGGAAGTACCTTTTGCTTTCAAGCCAGGACTCTTTGGGCACTTATGCTTTTTTAGGTGTGGTGCTCACCTGGGTATTCATCCCTGCCCACAGTGTTTCAAAGAGAGACTTTGTCTCAATAATGCCATACTAGGTAGGCCCAACCAGTTCCTAGGAGCACAGGGCATGCTTGCTGCTTGTGTGTGTGTGGTAGAATGCACACACATGCATATGCACATCTGTGTGTATTGCAATGAAGATTTAAGAAAACAACACCCTGCAGAATGACAGTAAAGGTTATTCATAATCAAAATTGTATAATCTGATCAAGAAAATTTAGTTCTATATTCTGAAAAGAGGAAAAATTACCATTATGCTGTGAAGGATCTGATAACTTCCTTCTATACCCACTTCTTTCTGCTCAGCTGGAGTTGCACATGCACATTCCCTGTGAGTTTGCAGCCAGCCAGTGAAATCCCCACTGAGGGTCTCTGCACAGGTACATGAATGCAAGAGAGCTCTCCAATATGTTAGGAAATATGTAAGTGTTAGTAAACATGTACTTCTGCAAATGTTTATGGAAACTTATTATTATGTTGTAAAACATGGTAACATGTTTCTATAGCTCAATTTCAATCTAAGACATCCTTTGCTCTCTCTCCACCTTCTCCTCCTCAGACAGATTTATCTTGATGGATTGGAGACATGTAGGGGTGCTTACTGGTGCAGTTCCTGCATCTTGGTTGCAGATAGTAACTTTCACCTTTTGTGCTGATTCCTAACGAGCCCCTCAAGAGATGATTGGATACTTTAGCATCTGAACATTCTTAGAATAAGAATGGTATCAAGTAATTCAAATGTAGATAAAATACACCTGTTTGGAAAAAAAAAGGCAGAGAAGACTTTGTTAAATGAAAAGTACTGAAAGCATGTATATGTTAATACACTGTGCTGGGAAAATTTTCAAAATGCAGCATAAAGAGCTTACTCAGTACCAAGGTACTCTGCTTGGAAGTCTATTTTTTTTCTTCTCATGTTAAACAGTTGATTAGTGCTGTCACCACCACTTTTCTGTTCTCTTCCCCTGATGCAATTTACAGGGATAACCACCATCTCTAGCTCAATTCACGTTGCCTGGAAGTGGAAACCAAATGCTTTTGTTGATGAGAACCTGCTGAAAATGGATTATTGCAAAGAGAATGAACATAGCACCCTAAGTAAGAAGGTATGGATATAGAATCATTTATCCATGGCTGTGTCTTTTTTTTGTTTTATTTGCAGCAAAGAGTGGCTATAGTTCCTCTCAGGGCCACATCAGCAGTGGGTGGTGAGCTCCTGGAGAGGCTGTCCTCTTGGGTCTGGTGAGTGAACTCACCTTCAGTGTCTCAACAAAAGTGACTGCTCTTTATTAACTGATGGAACTTTTTACTAACCATGAAATCTAAATGCTTTGAAGTTCTAATTCAGTGTTTGATAGTGCTTTGGGGGGGGAATTTATTAACTCTTTGGTACTCTCTGCTCCTTACACTAAGGATTTAAGTGTGGGATATTGTCTAACAGTATGTGTGCTTGGCAGATTGACAGATAAACTTCTGTGGCTGTGCTCCTTTGTCTTATCCTAACATGCTGAATCCCATTTTGTTAGTGGTTTCTGGTTTTAGAAATGGTCTTCCTGCGTACCTCTGAAAGGTTTCTTCTAGACCTGCTGCAAAAGGGATCTCAACAAAGACAGGAAAAAGAAGAATGGAGAAGTTCTGTTGGCCGGTTTTCACAAGAATGAAAGGTTGGGTGAATAAGGCCCAAGACACTGAAAGGAAAAAAAGATGTGAGGTAAGTGCTATCAGACATACATCGTTCCTTAGCCAGCAAAGAGTGGTGCTCCACAGGGGTTTACGTCAAACACCATAGAGAGCAAGACATAGCATGGTGACCTATGAGGTCCTAAAGTCTGGATTATATTCTCACCCAGCTGACCTATCTCCCTGCCCTATCTAGCGTGGAATGAGGCAGCTTCTTCTGTAAAATGCATATCCTGCCTCCTAGCAAGGAAGTGCTTGTACCATTTCCAAACCAGACAGACAATTTAAGCCCCATCTCGATTCCTGTCCAAAACTAAAGCATACACTAACAGTAAGGTTCAAATTTATCAGATGAAAAGGAGCTTTACAGACCTGCATAAATGAATGAGTCACTCCATGCTGCCTGCAAAGCATTGCATGTGTTTCCTTAATTATAGAGTGCTCTTGGTTCTACCTTGTGTTAGGCTCTTCAAAATCAGGTGACACAGACATGTCCTGTCCTCTGGGCTAGGTGAGTGTCTTGATCTTTCAATATAGAAGGTCAGTGTCCCCCTCTCACCACCTACTCTGTACCCTAACCAGCAAGAAGGCAGATCTGCAATGTACCTGAGCCCTGAAGGATGGGATGTGATGTGGTGCTGTGCTGCAGGCAGCAATGTTCCTGCAAAGCAGCAGCTCTGCACCATAAGCCATGCTACCTGTGCATGAGCAGGGATATCTGTTGTACAGTCCCAGCAGTGCAACTGGATGTCTGGCCTTTCACTGAGGTCTCATTCCTTAGTGCTCCTGCTGCTTGAGAGCTCTGAAAATGCTTTCCATCCATTCAACCCTCTGATTCCATTCCACTGCTCTCATTTTGCTAGGGAGCAATGAAACACAACAGGCCCTAATAATACCAAGTTCAGTCAAAGGATCCAACCCAGACCTCCAGTGATCTTCCAAGTAGCTGCTGCCTTCTTAGTGACCTGTGCCAAGTTAGGTCTTGTCTCACTATTGTTCGAGCAGCTGCTTAGTGCCATCATCAGGGAGGGGACATCTCTCCACATCCCAGCTGGCCTGGCAACATCACCTGTATGATCATATAGTCCAGAGAAAACATCTTTGCTTGTACCTTTGAGCCCTGTGGTCATCTACAGGTGTAAGAGCCACGTTGCTTCCCTAGGTAATCTCAGAAAAAGTGCAACCCTCAGTACCCGTGGAGAGGCACCTCTTCAGAATTATATATTCAGACTTGAGGAAGGACTTGGCTCAGGCTATACCTTCTTTTATAGTCTCATCACCAAGACAAGTGTGTCATTCCAGGGTTAAGCCCTGGGACCCTCCAGTGTACAGTCATAGGCCTTTGGCACCTGTGGTGCCTGGGGCGACTACTTGCTGCTTGGGGCGACTACTTGCTGCTGGCCAGGGGCAAGCTGAATGCAGGCAACTCCCAGCTGTTGTTATTGCCAGTTTTGCCTGGTGTAATCCTGCTTTGTTGTTTTGTTTTGTTTAGTTTTTTTTTTTTTTTAAATCAGGCTTGCCTCAGGGCCAGCAGGCACTGCATGGCTTATGGAAATTCTGCAAAAGCAGGAGATTCCAGCCCCTTGTTTCCAAAACGAACACAACATTTATCCCCGTTTTTCACTCCTGCTTTTACAGTGACATAACGAAGATGCTCCGCGCCGCCGCTCACGGGGAGCGCTTCTGCTCTTCGGCGCTTCGCTGAAACTTCGTGAGTGCCCCCACGCCGAGCAAAGGCTCCCGTCTGGCCCCTCTCCTCACGGAGCTCGCATTCGGTCCCACCGCCGCTTCCAGCCGGAGCTTCCCCCGGAGATGACTCGGGCTGCAGCAGCCTGAGGGGTCCAGCTACATCCCAGCCGCCTCCTCCCCCTTCCAACCCTCCATCCTCAGGGGCCGACCTTTAAGCAGCCTCTTCTCACGACGGCATCTAAGTCTGTTGTCGCCTTTAAGAAACAGAGAATGACTCCTGGACTTGTCGGTGTTCCACGGCTCCTGGGATAATAAGGCTGACAGTGGTTCCTAACAACGGGTAGTGCCACCCCTCTGATCGGTGTCACCAGCTGAGCAGATATAAAAGAGAGGATGCTTGCTGTCTGTGGGGAGCTGTTGGTGTGCCCTCTCCTGGTTGCTGAGCAGACAAGCTGTTTGGCATTTACTGATTATCTCTCTGCTACCTTACAATTCCAGCTTGGACAGGCAATCTTCACAATTCCAGTTAAAAAATACTTCTGCTGGCAGTGACTAGTCATGAATTCGTCTCGCCTAAACAACAGAGCTGAGAGCCACTTTAGAGCATCAGAGGAGCACGAACTGCAGACAGTGGGGAAGAAAGCTTGGGACAATCCTGTTTACAATGGCTCTCCTTCTTCCTCCTTGAAGATTCAAACCATCTACAACCCCAAGTCTACCTTGGAAAATCCCTATGAGAACTTTGAAGAGGTTGGGGATCCACTGCCCTACCAAGAAGAACAGAGCAAAGCTGTGGATGGGAAGACAAGTCCTTTCCTCAAGTGCTTCTTCTACGTCTTCAGAGGCATAAGAGGTAAAGCTCTGACATCCCACTAGAAAGGATTTATTAGCCCTCAGAACGAACAGTCGTATGGGGGGATGAGAGAAGGGATGCAGAAGGTAGAAACCTCATAGTGTCTGTGTAGCCTAGGGCCCTGCTCAACATACAGTAGCATTACTCCAGAGATCATGTCTGGCTGACCTGGAAGGAGCATTCTCATTCCGTGTGCCTGGCTATAGCTTCACAGTTTGTCCTGTTACCTTTACTACAAGGTAGTCGGAGACTAAGGGATGTGCTCAGGGTTTTGCAGTGAATCTGAGCTTTGGACAGAGCTGAGATATTCAGAATCCCCAGGAGTCATCACTGTGGTGATGAGACCATTCTGTCTATGTATGCATTTTCTAGACAGTGGTCTGGCCCCTGTGTTACAGTAACTTAAGAACTGATAAAAATATCTACCAGAGAACATCTAGGACTGAAATGCAGGGGATTACAGGAATGTATCAAACAGTGCTTTTCTTGAAGACAGCTGGAAGAAAGAGGTGCTGTTTTCCAGTTTAAAAAGCAAAGGGGAATGAAATATATGTAGGCTTAATCAGAGACAATCAAAACTCTGGGAGCAAGATAAGTCTCCTGTAAGTATATAGTCCTGGGCAAGAGCATTATTTGAACAGTTACTTATAGAAGGCATAAAATCCTAATATTGTAAAAAGAGGGAAGATAGACCAAGGAACTGTTTCTTGTGAAAATTACATTTTCTTGCCAGTGTCGCTTTTCTTGTTTTCTTCCTGACTTGGAATGTAAGAACCTTTCTCAGAGCTGTACCCTCTAACAGTACATGTGAGTGAATAACAGTATAGCTTGGTCCTGATTTGCACAGCCCCTCTATGATCAATACTTATTTGTCATTGTCATTACAGTCTAACACTATCTATTCACATGCAGTCAGAGCTGAGGCTTTAGAGGTTTCTCCTGGCTGAGGAACGGTGCTGGGTGGGCTTGGTGGGTAATTACAGATTTCCTAAAGAAAGAGCTGAAAACAAACCTCAAGCGATATAGTATTACAGTTTCTGGATGCAATCTGAAAGGGTACTGGACCAGCCTCGTGGTCCTTCAGGTATCATTTTGGGCAACTCTCTGAACCAAATTTTCAGGGATATTTGAGTGTCCCTGAATTTAGATGTTCCAAGTACACTTCTGTTCTCAAAGCAAAGAAAGTCTGTGCCTCTGCTTCAAACATATAGAAAGTAAGGTTTCTCTGCCTCATGGGGAAAAAAAAACAAACCAAACCTGTTAAAAGATTGTGATGTAGTCATATCTGAGGATGAAGGTTGTTATTTAAATATGACCTGAACGGATGGGTGAGTTGTTTCCACTTGTTTTTCTGCATTGTGGAGATTCCTGTAGACGACAGGACACTCTCTCCTTCACAGCAGTTAATCCAGATCTTCTTCAGGCTGTTATTTCTGTTGCTGGTCTGGATTGTCCAGAACAGGCTACTAGTTGTCTGCCCAGGAGTGAAGGCGGATTCTGGAACAGTCACTACGGTAGTTGATGGTGCAAAAAGCTCTCTGATCTGCTGAGATGCCAAAGACCTGTCAAAATGACAGGAGTAAATGCATACAGACCACTACATCACTTTTGCTTGCTCCAGAGAAACAAAAGCGGTTTCTTATCTGCAAGAACTGACTTCAAATGTGTGGCCTTTGATCAGCTTTGATCCTGGCTCGCAGGAAGATGATTGCTGCATACTACTGGGGATAGGTATCAGGGCTGAGCTCTCTAGGAGCTGCAGAAAGCAGCAACACTATGGATATTATCGACATGGCTTCTATCACTAGGCTTTCAACTGGAAGTTCTTATGCCTTTCAACTTCAGGAGCATTCCAGAAATCACAACAAAAAGCTGTTTCAAAAAGAACAAACAAATACACTAATGGTATCAGGCGGTTCATCAAACCCAAAATATCAAGGCTTCTTTTAAAGGAAGTGTTTCTCTCTTATTGATCAGTCCTGGTGACATTTAATGAGTTGCTTTGACTGTAGAAAGAAATAGGATCTCTAGCTGTTGCAATTGGCATAACTGTATTGGATTCAGCACAGCTCCATTGATAGATGTCCTAAAGCCAATTTGGCTCTAAATTTTATGCTGAAAATATTGAGTTGTGTTATGTGTGCGAGTCTTATGACCTACAAGAAAACTGCAAGAGTTTTTAGGTAAGCAAGGGACCTAATGGTTCAACGTGCGCTGAAAGGACTAGTATCTGTAAAGCTAACATCAGATGCAGTTCTGCTACAGAAGTCCTAACAGAAGGTCAGCTGTTGGCACATGGGTGACTGAGTTGAAGTTTTATAGTTTCAAGAGACCTTGTGACAAATCTCTGCAAAGAGTAAGCTGAAAAACAGTCAGAAAAAGATCAGTCCGTAATGAGCTCAAACAGAAAATTGGAGAGTGATTTAGCAAAAATAAAAAACCAATATATTATAGTTTTGGTCGGCCCCAAATCTTTTATTCATGCTGGAATTGTTCTAGTTCTTCTTAGGGGTTATTTAACACATTTTTATAGGTCTTAGTCAAGTTTTGAAATGAAAAGTGGTTTGGCCTTAAAAAGTGACAAAAATTCAACTCCCAGCGGAGTTCTTTGAGAACAGGGCTTCAGCTCCTCACATGGCCCTTGAGAATGGCCATCAAAACTCAGCAGTCGCTTCTTTATACCCAACAGGTCTGTGGGGCACTACACTGACTGAGAACACAGCTGAAAACAGAGAGCTTTATGTGAAGACCACACTGCGAGAGCTGCTAGTCTATGTTGTGTTCTTGGTGGACATCTGTCTACGTAAGTAGCTGTCATGTCTCATAGGCATCCTTTCTGTGTGCAGTGTGAGGGGAATAATGTGAGATTTTATTATTAGTCTTCCTTGCTCTGCTGTAAATGTTAAATTTATTGTACGTGCATTCACTGCAGCAGGAGGTTGCGTTATTAACCTATAGAATAGGTTAATAACTCTACACAGAAGTAAAATTACTGACCATTGCTAATTGATAATCGTTAGATTTAAGCAGTATTTTCAGATTCATATTATCAGTTCTAGCCATTGACACCACAGTCCTAGGAGAATCTGCTCAAGGTTTTTAATTATTTTATTTAATTCACAGTAAATGTTCAAGACCCAGAGAGCAGCTCCAGAAACTTCCTGGCATCAAAGATACAGAAGTCAGAGAGATTTTCCCCTCTGAGACTGCAGGGGTGGCTGTGGTGATAAAGCAGATAGCAGCTCTCACTGTTGTTCTTGGGTGAATTTAATGTGTCCCTGTACTGAATGCTAATGCTAATTGACTTTGTGTAGATAGAACAATGGCTGTTTGGTTTTGGGAAGGTTCATTCATTATCACAAATGAACACCAGTGGCATGGGATAGTGAAGAGGATTATATTTCATGGACCCTATGGCAGGAGAGATTGACAGACAATAGCAACCTAAGTTATTATCACACTGGCCCAGGGAGACAGTGCTTCAGTCACTCTTCCTAAAGAAGCAAGAGGTGCACACGGACGTACATGTTGTCACACACTGACTCATCCAGAAGGTGTGGGGGGATTGTGTCTTGAACGTCAGCTGCTTTATTTTCCTGCTGTGCTTTCAAGAGCAGAACATGTTCTTAGTGATCACCATGACGGATGTTTTTCTGAAGGAAGAGGAGCACTGGAGAGTTGAAACAACATGCTCATGGAAGTTAGAGCCTGCTACTGTTGGGGTTTCTTGGTAGATGAGAACTTACCTGGAGCTTTCCACTTGGAAAAACAGGGTGGTCTCTGTACCTTTGCAGCTTCACATCAGAAAGTCAAAATACAGAACATGGGCTTTGCTCTGAGAAAGAAAATTTCCCTCAGAAATTTTGTCTGAGAACAAAAATCATTACCTGGGATGTTCAGTTGCATCATCCAATGGTATTCTCTCTCTACTAACCTCTTACAGTCTGTCAGTCTGACAGTTTAAATTCTGCAACATGCAACAAGTAAATTTGTAAATCCCGAAGAAAGCAAAAGGTCCTAAGATTTCTTCTCCCATGCCTTGCTCAGCTTACCTGTGAAAGTACAAGCTACACGTAAAGTGAATATATAAATATATTTATATCCGGCTCCTATATTCAGGTATAAGGAAGGACCCTTCTCTTATCTCTTCTCTTAGTGACATATGGAATGACAAGTTCCAATGCCTATTACTACACCAAAGTGATGTCTGAGCTCTTTCTGCAGACCTCTTCAGATGGTCGTGTCTCCTTCCAGTCCATCGGAAGCATGGCTGACTTCTGGGTGGTGAGTACAAATCTAGCCCAGCATGGGGAACCCTGTAAATCTCAGCTAGACTGGGACATTCAGTTCCCTCTGAATTTGCTACCTAGTGATTTCAGCAAGGCATTTTATTGCCACAAGCTTTTGCCAGCTTCTAGCAATAGTTACAATAGCATTTGCGTGCAAAATACTCACTGACTTAAAATATCATTTATCCCTCTGAGCACTGTGGCCAGAATACTGGCTAGGATAAGTGTTGTGTGTGCCCAGAAGAGTCCATTTCCCAGTAATTTACCAGCTGAACAGGCAGGACATAACAAAAAAATTAAAGCGATCTGAGCATCTATTCATTGCACAGATGGAAAGAACTGATCCAGAGAGGCCAAGTGATTTACTTCATGTTTCCATGTGGTACAAGTGACTTTGAATCCTACAGCCCCATGTCTTCATGCTGGTGTCTTAGTAATAGGCTTTTGTCCATTTTCATGGCAATTTGGGAACAGCATACTTAACCTGCCTGTAATTCATGCCTGGGCTTGTCTGATCTATAGATTCTTTATGAAGAAGCTGGATTACAATTTGCACTGACTTTTATCAAAGAGAATAAAAAAGGGGAAAGATGTCTGGGGTCTAACATATTTCTGTCAAAGAACTGGTGAAGGAATAATGAGAGCCACAGTGAAGGCCATTGAGTTATTGCAACCACTTATCTCTGACAGACAGAAATTGTTCATCAATTATGTGATGTCTTTTTCTATCATATTAAAACACTACAGCAAACAATGGCACTATTGATTTTCCCCTGGTGTTTCCAGGACACTGGCACACGCTCTTTTCATAATTCACAACTGGTGCCAAGGCAATTCCTTGAGACTTGTGCTGACTGAAATGGAAGAGACAAAGAGACTTGTAGAGCTCTTGTCTCTTTTATGAGCCCAGGAAGGTGCAGCAACTGTACAACAGGCCTGTGAGAAACCAACAATGACCCTGCTGCCCAGCATCCCTCCTCTATCAGCAGCCCTGGTCTTTCCCCTCCTTAACATACATCCAACAAAGACACTACCTTTGTCTTGGGGAGCAGAGAGGGGCAGGTCATGTCTTACTATCTCAATCCCAGGCTAAGAAAATTCCCTCTGTGTGAGCTACAAAGCAGTTGTTCTCCTCTCCCTCCCTTGCAGTATGCACAAGGTCCCCTTCTGGATAATCTTTACTGGACAAAGTGGTACAACAACGAGTCCCTGACAGCGCACAGCACCCAGTCGTACATTTATTACGAGAATCTGCTGCTGGGTGTCCCACGCATGAGACAACTGAAGGTGAAGAACAATTCCTGTGTGGTCCATGATGACTTCAAGGAGGAAATCTCAGGCTGCTATGATGTATACTCAGAAGACAAGGAGGAAAGGGTCTCCTTTGGGCTCATCAATGGAACAGCGTAAGTACATCTAATCCAAATTAGTCTCTTCTAGTTAAAACAAGATCTGCTAAGCTGCAGGATGCTGAGGGTGAGTTTCTCACATAAGGCTGGAATTCCCCTTGCAGTCAGAGGCAGCAAGTCCTTTTCGTCTATCAATAAGGTCAAGTGTCTCTTTGAGGAAAAGCACAACAGATTGAGTGGCAAAGTGGGACCTGTTGGGAAAGCCATGAAAAATCCAGTGGAAAATTAGGTAGAAATTTTTGCCTGTCTTTAAGAGTGTGAAGTTAAATAAAGACCTTTGGGACCAGATCCATCAAAAGGAGGATACTATTTGCTTTCCTCTGGGATTTCAGGAGCCAAAGAGAAGAAAGTACATATCTCTCATCTTGACAGCCTATTTCTCTATAATAATGTGAGGTAGCTTCAGTTTAATAACTCTTTACTTGCTGCATGGGTCTTGATCTGTGAACAAGAAATTATTGTTCATAAGGAAATATAAGTGCAAGAGTGTTCTAAGCAGATGGTTGTGTGCAATGTGATAGAAGGCAATAGAGCAGATCCTGGGAGCAACCTCCATGAAAACAAGACTGACCTAGCCAACGGATCTCAGAATTTTCCCTCCATAATATTGCAAGTCATGTGTCACTGCTGGGAAGCACTAGACTAGAAAACTAACAACAATGAAGAACTCATTAGGAATTAAGTGCCAATTCTTTAATTAAAAACTGTTCTGTCCCTTGAAGATATAGTCTAATTTTCCAGGCTACAAGGTCATATCCAAGCCTGGGGTGGTGAAGCCTTTGCTTATGGTTTGTCTGTTGCAGATGGAGTTACCATTCTGAGGAGGAGCTGGGTGGTTCATCTCACTGGGGAAGACTAACCAGTTACAGTGGGGGAGGATACTACATAGACCTCAAGTTGACCAGAGAAGAGAGTGCTGAAGCCCTACAAGTCTTGAAGGAGAAGCTGTGGCTGGATCGGGGAACACGAGTTGTCTTCATTGATTTCTCCGTGTATAATGCAAATATCAATCTGTTCTGTGTTCTGAGGTAAGCTGAGTCCAGCTGAAAATTCTTCAGCCTCTTGCATCTTCCTCAGTGCCATGGTTTCTTAAAATGCAAATACTTTATTAAGGTCTACCAGTGGGGTAGGTCTGAGTGGTGTCAGTAGAAATTGTATGGATGAGTAAGAAGTCTTGGTCTTCCTGACATAACCAGTCACACTTCTCTTTATCTTTCACCCTTTCTTGTCACAGACAGTGAAGCAGCAGAGATATGGCTGTGTACACACATGCACAACTCTTCCACTCATGGTCTGATGGATAGATCATGCTCAAGTTTGCTGCCTCTCAAAATAATCCCAGAGCCTCCATCCTCTTGTTTATAATTATCAGAGTTTTCTTGTCCCCTTCAAGGTTAGTTGTTGAGTTTCCAGCCACTGGTGGTGCCATTCCTTCCTGGCAAATCCGGACAGTCAAACTTATACGATATGTCAGTGCATGGGACTTCTTCATTGTTGCCTGTGAAATTGTATTCTGTGTCTTCATCTTCTACTATGTGGTGGAGGAGACTTTGGAGCTGCGTATCCACAAGCTTCAGTACTTCACCAGCATCTGGAACATCCTGGATGTTGTCGTCATTCTGGTGAGGACTCTTACACGTGTTTTGGGGGGAGCAATTGCAGAGAGGTATAAGAGCCAAAATAAATGAAAGAATGTGGGAACTAGTCCAGATAGGACAAGAGCTGGCAGAGGTTTTGCTTTAATACTAAAATGAACTAGCAGAATTAATGGATATATGCTCTTCTGTCAACTGTTAGGAGAAAATACTTTCTTTAGAGATGCCCTAGAGTCTGTGAAACCAGGGCATCATTCAGTGCATCAAGACCTTATTTCCATCCCCCACCAGTAGATTGCAGCTGTGAACTGCTATATCAAGGAGTTCTGTGACACTTTAATGTCTGAGGAAAGCATAGGTACAGTGGTCACTGCAGACTATTCCTCTTCGCAGCTCTCCATTGTCGCCATTGGATTTCACATCTTTCGCACCATTGAGGTGAACAGGCTGCTGGGAGAGTTGCTGAAACACCCCAACACCTACGCAGATTTTGAGTTCCTGGCATTCTGGCAGACGCAGTACAACAATATGAATGCAGTCAACTTATTCTTTGCCTGGATCAAGGTATTGTAGTGGGTCTGGGAGGTGCCAGGTCTCCAGTCAGACCTCTTCCTCTAGATAATTTGGGGGTTGTCCCTTCCATCCCTCTGAGTAAATGAGTGTAACAGCTATACAGCAGAGGATTTTCCTCAAAGTCATATGCTCTGTTTTGCAGTAAATCTGGACAACTTTTCACTCTGCATTCTGAAGCCAGTTATTGGGAGATAACATCCAGGGCGATGAGCTCAGACATTGTGGTATAAAAGTGGTTTTAGAAAATGCTGAGTACAATGTAACTTTGTCTATCCTGTACTATTTTAGTATTCTGGAGGATAATCTTGTAAACCATGCTTTCCTTTCATGATGATCCCTCAAGAACTGGAAATTACTCATGTGTTGGCGTGGACTTTGCATTTCAACCAAAGCATCTTGGCGTGGTGGAAAGCCACTCTCTATTTGGGGCTCCTTGTTAGCTTTAAGAAATTTGTCCTTCTAGCAGTCCCTATTTGTATTTTCCTTTGACACAGGGAACAAAGCCATATGTTTATGACCTCCAGGAGGATGGTGGCACACCCGGGACAAATATCCTGAACACTAAGCCGCTATTCCTCTAGCCCAGCTTTCTTCTCAGTGCTTTGGTACTGTAGTGAACCTCTCGTCAGTAAGCATGCACATACCTGAGAGAGACTGACCTAGCTGATGGTTTGGCCTAACTTTTCCCCCATTCTTTCATCCTGCAGATATTCAAGTACATTAGCTTTAACAAAACAATGACCCAGCTCTCCTCCACACTGGCACGTTGCGCCAAGGACATCCTGGGCTTTGCCATTATGTTCTTCATTGTCTTCTTTGCCTATGCCCAGCTGGGTTACCTTCTTTTTGGGACACAAGTGGAAAACTTCAGTACCTTTGTTAAATGCATGTAAGTGTATAAGATAGAACCATGTTTCCATAATTTTATCAAAAGAATTTCACCCTTCCCTACAGATACAAATCTGAATGTCAATCAGACACCTGTTGTATCTCATTGTAATAAAGTCACAACAGTTAATAAGTCACTCATAGTCCTCTGGTTGTGACATCTTCATGGGCAAAAGAACACAGTGAGAAAATTGAGAGTAACTGACAGATTTCTGGTTGTTGGGGTTTATTGCTAAGGATGAGTAGCTGAACCTACACTCTGACTGAGTGGTTTAGACCCTGCTCTGGCTTGTTCTTATGCCCATCTGGGCTGCAGACGGGTTCAGGTTCACCTCAGGACTGTTTGAAGTTGTAGGATAAATCCATGTGCCTTTGTGTGATCTTGGGCTCTTTCTTTCCTCCAGCTTCACCCAGTTTCGGATCATTCTCGGTGATTTTGACTACAATTCCATTGACAATGCCAACAGGGTCCTTGGGCCTATTTACTTTGTCACCTATGTGTTCTTTGTTTTCTTTGTGCTCCTGGTAAGCAAGAAAGTACTCCTTGTCCCAGTATTGACAGCAGTGTTTGAGAGACCCCTCCTGACAATCCCTGAGTTAGGTGCAGCGCTAATGCTTAGAGGGAAAGGGAGTTTGTTACAGAAGCTTTGCAGTGTGAATAGACCACAGTAGGCAAAGAGTGTGTTATTACAGTTGGGGATTTGATTATTAGGGTGACTTAGAGCCATATTCACATGTTTTAAGGTGAAGACTAAATCTGACTGGAAAAACCACTAATGTGTCAGCTGAATTCAAGGGGATCAGATCAGCTGTTCTGTAAAAGGCAGTGAAAAAAACATGGGGGAGAGTCTCTGGCTTCCTAGGCAACGGATGCAGAGGGATGCTCATAACATCCAGGTTAAACAGCCAGTGTCAGGAATCCAAATGTAACTTAAGATTTTTCAAGAAAAGCTATCCAAGGTAGTATTCAAGCTGGTAACAAATACCTGCAATCACTGCTTTCACTGCAAAAACATGAGAAAACACAGTGTGGCTGAAGGGGGCCTTCTCTTCACCCGGTTTAATTTGCCCAAGAGAGACTCTGTGGGGAAATAGCTCCTTGTTTAACTAAGTCCTGCCTCTTGCTGCTTCAGTTGCTGGAGCAGGCAAGATGTCTTATGCATATTCACCTCTCTTCTTCCCCTTTTTCTAGAACATGTTTCTGGCCATCATCAATGACACCTACTCAGAAGTCAAGGAAGAGCTTTCAAGCCAGAAGGATGAGCTTCAGCTCTCTGACATCTTGAAGCAGGTGATGAATAGTGAAAGCCATGCTACTTTCTAGCTAAATCATGAAGCATTTTTTGGAAGTCCCTGAACTAAGTGGAATTTACTAGAGAGAAACAGTGGTTGCCAACTCCAGATCTATCTTCTTTGTGTGCAGAGGAGTCACAGTTCCTTTCTGGAATAAATCAAGCTCCCAGATTCTTCAGCAATGAGAAGATGAAAAAGCAGAGGTTGGGGGAATCTTCTTACTTGATGTAGTGTTTCTGAGAGACTTTTCTTCCCAGGATGGTCTCTAAACAAAAGTCCTTTCAAGTCCTTGATAGATTGTACTTTGATCAATAACACAGCAGGTCCTACTTTGCTAAGTTGAGCATGTTACAGTGGTGCAAATGTAGTGGGTTACATCTGGATTTCCCATGGGCGAATTCCAGAAAAGTTCCTGGAAGGTCACAGCTCTGCTGTGGGAGCAATATTCTGCAAAGAACAGTATTTGAGACATTATCTTAAACAGCTGATGGACTGAGAGATCAGATAAAAGAAGAATTGTGAGAAGAAAAGCAGAGGACTAGCATGTTGCTGTCACTTTGAAAGTGTGATCCTAGTTTAGAGATGAGGTTCATTCAGCAGTGTTGTATTTTTGCTTGTGGAAAACTTAAAAACTTCCTGTATTACTTAGCGTAGGCTCACCTGTGCTCTGCTCTACTTTTGACTGTTCTGTCTGCGTGATTCTGTGTCTGTTCGCACCTTTTTGCACCTTTGGTAACAGAGCTACAACCGGACACTCATGAGGCTGAAGCTGAAGAAGGAGCGGATTTCTGATGTGCAGAAAGCACTGCAGAATGGAACAAAAGAACTAGACTTTGAAGACTTCAAGAACAGCTTGAAGGAGTAAGTGAGTCAGCTTGAGGGATGCCCACTTAGCTCTTTCTTTTGGTAACACGGGTAATCTAGATTCTCTGGTTTTCAAGACTGGGAGAGCAGTTAGCTCAGATCTGGGCAATTTAAGACTCAAAAAAAAAATAGTTATCTTTCCCCGCATGTTTAATCTGCTGGTCTAAATAGGTTTGTGTTACTGTCTCTTGCCCATTTGGGGTGTTGAGGTTTGTCACTGGCAGGAGGAAACAATACACTGATTTCAAAAGTGGTGTTCCCACACTGTTAGAGCTTAACAGTGTAATTCTGTGCTTTCAGTTTTCTTTCTATTCTTTTTCAGACTGGGCCATGCAGATCATGAAATCACAGCAGCTTTCTGCACGTTTGACAAAGATGGCAACCACATCCTTGATGAAGAGGAGCAACAGCAGATGAAGCATGACCTCGAGGCAAAAAGGGTAAAAAAGGGCAAGGAAAGAAATCTTCTGTTTGGTAGAGTTCACTCCAAAGTGGTCCCAGGAATCTTTTTGGGTTTGTGGTATAAACTAAGCAGGCAACTCAAATACAGTTCCAACTGTGCCTGGGTAACAGCTGAGTATATCACTGCCTGTGATATTGTGTGTTATCCACAGTAAAGCTGACACAGAGTTAGTATCCAGCTTTGCAGGAGTTTCTTTATCTTCCAGGTTGCTCTGAATACAGAGATTGAAAATTTGGGGAAATCCTATGGTGACAACAACCTGGATGAGAATCTGATCTACAGGGAAGCAAGGAATAACCACGCCAATAAAGCCAGCTGGGTCTCCAAAGAAGAGTTCCAAGTGTATGTTTGTGCTGTCAGTAGTTTCAGCCCTCTGCAAATGAGGAGTCTGATTCCCTTCTGCTTCCTTCCCTGATGTAACTCTTTACAGTGGTGTTGAGCGGTTTCAGTAAGATCTTGTCTCTTTTATCTTGCACATGCATAAATAAGCAGGTCAGGAGATAACTGGGACAATTCTAGTAATGTAGTTTGCCTGTTCGTATAAAAAATTAAGACATTTTGCTTTCTGCCTCTTGAATAACCTCTGCAGCTGTCAGCTGGCCGCAGGCAATATGCCATCATATTTCAGATCAGAAGGTGGCCCAGATAACTGGGCCAAGGGAAGCTGATACCTTTACAGAAGATCCTGTGGGAATAAATATCCTTGATTTATAGCCTAGTTGGCCTTTATCGTCCAGGTCCAAGAATAACACTTGGCTGTTTCTTCCACAGCAGAGCATGGGATAAATACAGCACAGAGAATCAGGAGATCCTGATTCTGCTACTGAGAAACACTGAGCAAACCACATAGGGCCATATCAAAGGAGAGGCAGGTGCAGTACTTAATAATGGAATTATACTGTGTCTGAACTGTGATCCAAAGTGGCTGGGATCCATCCTAAGCAGAATCACTGATTACAGATGAAAACACAGTACAGCAGGAAGTTATGCCTTCAGTAGGTATGAATCAATATCTGATGGGGAGCATTCACTCCTGTTTGAGGTCTGGCCCATTGTCTGTGAGATATCTCCTGCAAATCCTACAAATCATCACAAGAAAAGGCTTACAAATGCTCTCTGTGTCTCCCCCAGCCTGCTGCAACGTGTACTGCAGCTGGAACTGTCCATAAACAGCGTTGGCTCCAAGATTGATGCAGTGGTGAGCAAGCTTGATGTGCCAGAAGGAAACAAGCTGAAGAGGAAGGACCTGGTGGGCAAACCACTGGATGATGTTAGTAAGGTTGGTAGCCCTCCACCATGCACCTGAACCTGCTTCACATTAGGTCTTCACACAGCCCTGCTCTGTGAAAGGACCTGGTATCGCGTTTGCTTTTCCAATCCACATTGACATAAGACAGAAAGGGTTGGCCAGGGTCAACATTCTGTATGATCAAGCCTTTTCTGTTCAAGAAAAGTAACACTTTGCTTTTATGTCCCCTCAGTTAACTATGGTATCTTAAAACACACCTTCTGGCTCCTTTGAGGCCAAGCTCAATCCTGTGGCAGTGGATGCAATTCACTGACAATTCAGTTGCTTTGTAACTGCTTATCCTCAGATGTTAAAAGAAAAATTATCAGATGGTCCTTTCCAGCAAGAACAGCTCATGACAGTGTTGTGGACTGTGATCTTAACAACACCTTGCCTGTGGCTTATTTATAAGACATATGTGATGGAAGACTGTTAGTGGTGTGCTTACAGCATCTCGCTGCAGAATTGTGACTTTTGCCAAAGACTGCCTATATCCAGTCATCCAGTGTATTTTGGGTCTTCAGCTTAAAAGTCAAAGGCAGCAAGGCATGTGGGAATCATGTCATTACTTCATGCTTTTATGGCCTTAATAATGAGAATAGCCAAATGGCACAAAGTGACCTAGCTGAGTAAGAAAGAAGCCTTCCTTTTACAGGGTAGTCTTGTGATCACTTCCCATTTGAAAGAGTGTCTTGAAAGGTCCAACTTCTCATGTGAATGTACCTGAAAGCTTATTTGAGTAGCTGTTTGCAGATTTGCTTTGCCACAGCATTTCTGTGAATGTTCTTGTAGAGGGTGAAAAGGGATGAATCTTTCCTTGTTTGTTTAATGCTTGAATGTGCATTCATCACTGTACTGCAGTAAACAGTATATTAGATCTTTTATGGACAGGCAGGATTGTACTAATTTCTGAAAGAATGTGGGAGGATATTTAAGTATCATGCACACCTTACCTCCCTCCTGGAGTGTCACAGAAGTTCTTGGTACCTTTCTTCTGGTTCACAGGAGGAAGAAGCCAGTCAGGAAGAGCTGCACTCCCAGAGCCTAGACCAACTGCGGAAGGAAGAAGTAGAAAGTTGGGGGATGGAACATGTCCAGAGAAACAACCTGAGTGGTAACTCTTCCCAAAACGGTGTCTACCACATCTTGCCCCGGTCAAATGTGCTGGGCTCACAGGTGTCCAAGAACATCATCCAGCCATAGCTGGATGTGCACTTCTAGCAAACAACCAAGTGCTCTCACTCTGGCTCCCACGGTACTAAGTCACTGTCAGTTGTTCTCCCACTGTTAGGATAATCCAGATAGCTGGACATAGACACCACTGTTGTCAGAAACTGTTGATGTGAAAAATCAGGGCTGCTCTTTTTCAGTGTAATGATGTATAATGTCAAAGAGTAGAACTTCTGCCCTCTCTCCCCTCAGTATCTCTGGAGTAGGTGGAATTCAGAACCAGGTGATGTATGAGGTTTCTGCCTCTCTACAAGCTGACACAAAGTCTCTTATCTATCCTTTCCTAAAAAGCAGGAACCCCAGAACTCTGAACACTTCTGTCCAGAGTGGTGTATTGCAACTTGTTCCCAACACATGCAATTGTCTGCAGAAAACAGATGTGATTATAATGTAAAGAAAACAGAATATAATCATTAGAGTGAAATGGAAAGAAGAAATTTAGCTGTGTCTACCTGGTTACAGACAGTTTTGTTCTGCTGTAGCTTGTTTCCAGATTACCTTGGTAACCTTTCTGTATCTTAGATTTAGATGTTGAGGGAAGAGGATACTAACACCTAACTTCGGACAACTACAATGAGAATTGACTGACAGTGTAATTGGGAGGAAATCTGAAATACTCTAAACTGAGAAGCAGTTGTTACTGGTAAAGTCTGAGGTCTGAGTGTTAGGGAACAAACTTCTGGTTATATGGTCTCTAACACAGCTGTTGACCCTCTATCATTTATTTTCACACTCCTTAAATTGCATCTCAAGGTTCTTTAAAAAACTAGCACCAAATTTATGAAGTTGTGATCTTTCTTGATTTTGCCGAGGAAACAATTTGCAGTTGGAGGTGCTGACACCATTTCAGTTGAAGAATATTGTGAAAATGAGATGTGTCAGTTTTTCAACCACATACTTCTTTTCCAGGCATTTCTCCCTTTGCTGAGATTTCTCTTTCCTTGTAACTGGTGCAGGCTATTGCTGCTATTACAGGGTCAGTGTAAATGTATTCCAAATATCTTCATCACTGATATTCTACAGTAGTTCACCTCAAATAGGCTCTGTAGGCTTAAAGCCAATAGAAATGTGAGTTGTACCAGACAATTGCTAACAGTTCTCATTAGTGCTACACTGTTGAGCATGCTATGCAGTGTAGTGATAAGTTTAGTGTGGACCTTGTGCAGGGGCATTTTGTATTGCCACCTTTTTTAAGATGTGTGTGTCACTGCATTCTGTGGAAAGCCTCTCTGGCAATATCTGATGGACCTCAGGATCAGCCCTGTCCACAGATGGCCCAGACACCAGGGCTGTCACAGCTACAAGATATCACTGATAAATTCAGAGGGTCTTTCAGCTGCAAGGACCTAGCAGGAGCTGTGAGGAGGAGCTTGTCACCCAGCCCACAGTGAGCTTAGATTTCGGACAGGAGCTGTGGGCACAGTAACTGGAGGCTCTCACAATTCACTTCCCATCAGCTGGTCCTGCTGTTGGGAACAAGACTTGCCTGGGAGACATTGCCATAATTCTTGACTCCCATTTCTGCTGAATTCAGAATTGAGCAAGAGCTTCCTACCTTCAGCTTTTCCAGCTGAACTTGCAACAGTGGTGTTGCTTACTTCCTCCTGCTCTCTGCATTGAAGCTATTGTCTTACAAAGAAGAAAACAGCCTATGTCAGGAGAACTTCCTGAAATGGGCTTTCTTTCTTTCTTTTTTTTTTTCCAAAATTTTAATTAAACAGGAAATCTATATGCTAAATTGTAATTGAACAGAGGAGCTATGTGCTCTGTAATGGGCTTGAAGAGTGCACACAGCCCCCCCTTGCAGTTAACTAATCAGGTCCTTTGTGTGTTGAAAGACATAGAGGGAGGTTCTTCCTTAAACTCATTTGTAAGACCCTGTTTTAGATCCTGGATCAATATCAGTCTATGATTACCAAGGCATAATTGCAAAATCAAAAATGTAAGCTCTTTCTTTGAGGTCTCTGAAGGAATGCCTTTTCCACAGACTCAAAATATTGGGTGAGGTTCTGAGTCTCTGTTACTGCATAGATATGAAATACTTGGGATGCCGATCTGTGAAGAACTAAGTCTAACACCATGGGAGAGATCCAAGAAGCAACTGTCTGTTTGAGGTGGTTGATCCTGTACTAATGGAGTCAGTGGAAGATATATTGCTAGCTGAGGCTTAGCTTCTGAACAGAGCAATAATTACCATGAAGGCAACAGGATCCTGAATTCATGTCCTGCCAAGAAAATGAAGGTAAAAATTATCATCTCTAAGGCCTGGCTTTATAAAGCCTCAGATTTCTCACAGGAAGAATGTTGTTTGGTTGTTCTGCTCAACAGAACAACCTTCTGCAGAGAAGGTGGTACAGGACCTCCCTCTCTGCATTGCCCAGTGTTTCTGTTCCCCTTTTCAGCTGTACCAAACACCCACAGGACCAGCCCCACTTGCCCACTGAGGCAAGGATACTGCAGCCACTGCAGAACAGTGAAAGAGCCTGTCACTAGGCACGGGAAGGCAACCTCCACCACCCTGCCCCTTTCTGCATAGGGACCCCCATAAGTGTCAGGGAAAGTGGGGGAAGCACAGAGAACAATGGTGTGATAGCTGGACTCAGATCCATGGGACAGTAACCAACAGCCTCAGGCAACCAGCTCACAGGCACTGTGGTCTGCTCTTTAGGGCATCAGGAGAAACAAAATGGTCATGTTTGCGCTGCAGGGCTTGTTTTTGCCCAAAACTTGGGAAGCCAGCTTTCCCCTGCAAAGGGAGAGCATGGGAGTCTTCACAGGGCCACTGCAGCTGGGAGAGATGCCTGCCCCTCACTTTGCCCCTCTGTAGTAAACACAGGAGACTGTAGCCAGAGATTAGACTCTAGACCAGCTTGCCAGGACTCCCCCCTTCCCACTGGCAAGAACAGCCTGGCAGCCTCCTCTCCTTTGGGCTTAGGGGGCAGTAGTCAGCTGCCATGTCGAGGAGCCCTAAACCAGCTCTGGCTGGGATCAGACAAGAACTGCAGGCTACCGTGGTCTCCTGGGTCAGCTCCTTTCCCACTTTCTGGCAGAAAGACCACTCCCTTCACCCTGTGCTGTGATTTTGGTGGTGCCAGTGCTGCTCAGTGTAAAACAACTTTGGTCACTGGCATGTGCCTGTGACTGCATTGATGTCTTCTCTCTTGCATGTACCTCTCCATGTAACTGCCTTGTCTGTTGTGTGTCCACATTGTCATGTGTATGATGTGTCCTAGAGTAGGGCAAGGAAATTACTTGTTCTCAGCAAGAGCTTGTGTGTAACTGTCAATTGTGTCTTCAAACTGGTTAAGAAATAACATAAAACCACTGAATGGTAAGTTCATACATCTTTTCTTTTCATATATGTGTTGTCAGGCCTCCTGTCAGGAGCTGTTATTATTTAGATGCTGTATGTCTGATGGGGAAAGTAAAGTATTTTTTCCTCAAAAAAATAGGTGCGTAGCTGTGTTTTGTTTCAATCTGCAGAGGCTAGCCTTCCAAACTGCACTGTCCCAGCTGGTGTCTTGAGGTGGTTAAAAATCTTTCGGAGGAAATTTGGAAAAGTATAAGGTGCTCTGAAGAGATACCACCACCGTGGTTATTTACATTGGCAGTTGCAGTGGATATGACCTCTCACCCATTCTGGTAGGTGCTGTGTGTGCTCCAGAGAGGCTGACATAGAGCACTCTCAAATTCAGCCAAGGGAGAAGGAAACAGTGTCCTAACCATGGTTCCCAAGCACAAAGTGAGGCACAGAGAGATTCACTGATGTGTGCAGGGAGGGGCACGGCAGACACATCTGAAAGCAGGCTCAGGCATCTGGCAAGGGGCAGCCCCAACCAGCTGTGGCCATGAGCATGGAAAGCTCCTGGTAGCATCTCTTCCCTGTGTCTCTCCAAGAATATGATGCCATTATCGTAACAATGAGCAAGCCTAACTTTTCATGTTTAAAAGGAACACATAAATCTCCAGACCCCCCACAAATACAGTCAAGCTCTATTTATGTTATGTATTTATGGTATTTTATGTTACCTATCAGCCAGTTTTAGTTTACCAGTAGATGTCAGCACTACTCACAACCCTTTGCACCTACAGCCCCTTCTCAGTTCCGTTTTCAAAGGAGGCCAGAAGCAAATCTCCCATTTGTTTTAGTCAGAGAAACTGAGACATAGAAAAATTTCTTTCTTGGTATCAGAGAAAAGACAGAAGCAGAAATCAGGTTTCCAACACACTTTATGATACTAGACCCTCACACTTGAGTATTTGTTTCAGGCTTTATCACTCTGGTAGATCCTTCTCCCTACAACCTGTAAACAGGGTTTGTAGAGGTTTTGCTCATTTTTTTCAGTCTTGTGGAAAGTCCTTAATAAGTGTTATTATTAGCCTAGAGCTGCTGATAACTGACCAGCCTTTAGCACAGGAGGTTGTTGGCTGGAGACTGCCCTGCCCCTGACTCTTAAAAAAACTGCCTAGCAGGAGTCACTTAAAAAGAAAAAGCAACATCAGGGAAACAACTATCAGTATTCACCGAGTTTATCAGTAACTAGTGAAAAGGGAGGGGAGAAGCCAGCAGCACCTGATGCTCCAGCTGGTTACAAACCCAGATGAAGAGTCGTGCCATCCCTCCACTGGTCACAGAAGCCCTAATTCAGGGTCTCCAAACCCGAAAGCAAGGAGCCTGGTAGTGTGAGAGCAGTAGAAGTAGGAGGAATTTCAGTTGAGTGCCAGGTCCAGCCCCCATGCTGGGCTCAGTGGCCAGGGGATATGTCAACATGAATATGTTTTGGAGAGAGGTGGCAGAATTCAATGTTTGAGGAACTGAGTAATAAGCCCTGCTCGTGACCGAGTTTCGGAGGTGGAGAATGCCAGGCGTAGCTCACTGCCAGTCAGCCATGCTGCACACATGCCAGGCACCTACACGGGTGGCAGAAGGGGCCAGCCCCCTGGGGTGCGGTGAGCTAAGGCCCAGCCCTCAC